TTAGACAGTGAGAGAGAGAGACACACACAGAGAAAGGTCTTCCTTCTCTTGGTTCACCCCCCAAATGGCTGCTACGGCTGGTGTGCTGCACCGATCCGAAACCAGGAGCCAGGTGCTTCCTCCTGGTCTCCCATGCAGGTGCAGGACCCAAGCACTTGGGCCATCCTCCACTGCCTTCCCGGGCCACAGCAGAGAGCTGGACTGGAAGAGGAGCAGCAAGCTGAACAGAACCGGCGCCCCAACTGGGACTAGAACCTGGAGTGCCGGCACCACAGGTGGAGGATTAGCCTAGTGAGCTGCGCCGCCGGCCTAGAATGTAACTTTTTAAACATTAGTTAGTCTTTGGAAATATGTGTTTAGGAATAAGCAAATAAGTATAGCTCCATTGTGTACATTACTGTGTTTTGTTTGTCATTTTAATATTTTTTAAAATCTAGGTTACCTAATTTGTTGACTTATTATTACTCATAATATTTCCTAATAACTATTTTTAAAAAACAACAGTGTAAATGAGATCTGAAATAATTTTTAAACATTATTTATATATTTATTTTATTTGAGATGTAGAGAGACAGATGGACAGACATCTCCCATCTGCTGGTTCAGTTCCCAAAAGCCTGCAACAGCTGGGCCTGGGCTGGAGCCAGGAACTCAGGGGCTGGCGTTGTGGCATAAGCAGGTAAAGCCACCACCTGCAATGCCATCCCATATGGGCAACTGATTGGAGATCCAGCTTCTCCACTTCCAGCTCCCTGCTAATGTGCTTGGGAAAGCAGTGGCCCAAGTCCTTGGGCCCCTACACTCACATGGGAGACCAGGAAGAAGCTCCTGGCTCCTGGCTTTGGCCTAGCTCAGCTCTAGTCATTGAAGCCATTTGAGGAGTGAGCCAACAGATGAAAGATCTCCCTCTGTCTCTCTGTAACTCTGACTTTCAAATACTAATTTAAAAAAGGCAGGACTCCTACATGGATGAAAGGAACCCAACTGCTTGATCCATGATGGCCACCTTATAGGGCTGACATTAGCAGGAAGTTGGAGTCAGGAGTTGAAGCTAGGAATTGAACTCGGGCACTCTACTTGGGCCGTAGATATCTTAACTTCTAGGCCAAGTGCGTACTCCTGTTTCACAAAAAAAAATTTTTTTTTTGACAGGCAGAGTGGACAGTGAGAGAGAGAGAGAGAGAGAAAGGTCTTCCTTTTGCCGTTGGTTCACCCTCCAGTGGCTGCCGCGGCCAGAGTGCTGCGGCTGGCACACCGCGCTGATCCGAAGGCAGGAGCCAGGTGCTTCTCCTGGTCTCCCATGGGGTGCAGGGCCCAAGCACTTGGGCCATCCTCCACTGCACTCTCGGGCCACAGCAGAGAGCTGGCCTGGAAGAGGGGCAACCAGGACAGAATCCGGTGCCCCGACTGGGACTAGAACCTGGTGTGCCAGCGCCGCTAGGCAGAGGATTAGCCTATTGAGCTGCGGCGCCGGCCTCAAGAAACTTTTTGAAGTACAATTCAATGCTATATGATCCCAGCTACATGACATTCTGGAAAAGGCAAACTGTGGTGACAAGCACAGGGGTCACCCAGGGGTTAGGGAGATAAACAGGTGGAATACAAAGGATGTTTAGAGCAGTGAATATACTCTGCGTGGTGACATAACGATGGGCACATGTCGTTCTACCTTGTTCCAAACCCATAGAAGGTACACTGCTGAGGGTGAACCCTACTGGGAGAATGGACTTTGTGTGAAAATGATATGCCCATTGTCAATTTGTCAGGCATAACCAATGGGTTCTTGTGGTGGGGGGTGTTGATAATGGGGGAGGCTGTGCATATGGAGGGGCAGGGGGGACAAGGGAACTCTCTGTACCTTCTGCTCAATTTAGCTTTGAACTTCAAACTGCTCTTTAAAAAAAATATTAAAAAAAAAAGCAACAACTGGAAAGTCCCATGTCCCAGGGCAATAGCACTTACAGCGTGGTCTGGTGCCAGGCACTGAATTGTTTGTTACTGGTCTGTTATGAGATAAGAGCTTGTTCCAGAATGTAACTCAATCTGCTGTTGCCTTTGTTCCAAAGGTCTTGCTCTGAAAAGAAAAAAAAAAATCAGCTGAACTGAACAGTGTGTTTAATAATGTGGACCATACTCCAGTGCCTAAGGCACTGTATGAGGAGCTACAAAGGAAAATCTGACATAAGCTTACTTACAGTGTGGGGGGAAACAAGACATTCACATTACTGGGCTGGTTATTAGGTAAGCTGGGGTAGGTACTGCAAGAAGCTCCAACAAATAAGGAGAGGGCTTTCCATTGGGAAAATCTTTCACTGCTTCCAGGAAACAGCGGGTCTGAACTAAGCTTTCAGTGGTGGTTAAGATTTGATGGCAGGGGTACGGTGAAAAGAAAAGGCATTTGAGGTAGAGCATAAAGTAAGTGAAGGCTTAGAAATGGGGTTGACATTGTCTCAGGGTAAAGTGAGTCGTCTATTTGGCATGGGTAGTTGGGTATGCAAGTTAAACACAAGGCTACTTCAAAAAGTTTGCAGAGCAATCGAGTTTAAAGATATGTTTATTTTGGCACAACAAAGTTTTTTGAAAGCCATGGGCAGTTTTCTCATACCATGCATTTTCCATGAACTTGTCAAGGCCCCTCATACAGTGAGGTAAGTTCAGAAAGTATTGGAGGTCATATTAGAAAGAACCTGGGGCCGGCGCCACGGCTCACTAGGCTAATCCTCCACCTAGCAGCGCCGGCACACTGGGTTCTAGTCCCGGTCGGGGCGCCGGATTCTGTCCTGGTTGCCCCTCTTCCAGGCCAGCTCTCTGCTGTGGCCCGGGAGTGCAGTGGAGGATGGCCCAAGTGCTTAAGCCCTGCAACCCATGGGAGACCAGGAGAAGCACCTGGCTCCTGCCATCGGGTCAGCGCGGTGCGGCCATTGGAGGGTGAACCAACGGCAAAGGAAGACCTTTCTCTCTGTCTCTCTCTCTCTCTCACTGTCCACTCTGCCTGTCAAAAAAAAAAAAAAAAAAGAACCTGGACTTGGCATGATGAGTTTAATCTTCTATTTGGGGAACAATATTCCAGACCAGGAATTGGCGTGGTTCTGTTGTGATCTGAAAGGTTAACTCTAAGTGGACATTTGGCCTAGCAGTGAAGATGCTGCTCGGGACTCCTGTGTCCCACCTGGGAGGGCCTGGCTTCAGCACCAGGCTCTGCTCTGAAATGTACCCTGGGAAGCAGATAGGTTGCCTCAAGTGATTGGATTCCATGTGGGAGACCTAGTTAAAGATTTGTTTATTTTACTTGAAAGAGTTACAGAGATCCAGAGGCAGAGAGAGAGAGAGAGAGAGAGAGGTCTTCTATCCGCTGGTTCACTTCCCAAATGGCTGCAATATCTGGAGCTGGGCTAATCCAAAGCCAGGAGCCAGGAGCTTCTCTGGGTCTCCTCTGTGGGTGCAGGGGCTCAAGGGGTCAGGCCGTAGCAGAGAGCTAGATCAGAAGAGGAGCAGCTGGGACTTGAACCAGGGCCCATATGGGATACCGGCACTACAGATGGTGGCTTTACCCACTATGCCACAGCACCGGCCCCTAGATTGAATTTTGACCTGAGCTGGAGCTGTTGAAGACATTTGGGGGAGTGAACCAGCGTATTGGAGTGCTCTCTCCGTCTCTTTCTCTCTCTGCCTCTCAAGTGAATGAACTTTCTAAAAAAGGAAAAGATTTGCCTCACAACACTGAGGAGAAAACATTTAAAAAGGAAAAGACTAGTTAGGATCACTAGTGATTAGCATGCTATATGAATAATAAGAGCCCAATAGTGAGAGATTGAACCAGTGCGAACCGAAAGGAATGGAAGACATACTTGCAGGCCTTGAAAACTGCTTGAATAAGAGTGTCTAGGGTAAGAAAGGGTGCCTGGAAGGATGATGGTGCAAAAACCAAGGTAGGGAAGACGGCCAGCAGAACTGGTTTGGTGGGAAGATGATGAATGTGGCTTGGATTGAGCTTGTGGTGCTTGGCCAGAAATCCAAGTAGAAATGTACACAGACAATGTAGGTCAGCAGCTCGAGAGCGCTGAGGTCTAGTGATCCTCATCTGAGAGGGAACAGCACAGAGGGGATTAGGGAGCCTTGAGGACTGAGATGCTGAGTGAGAGCTTTCACTGCTTGGAGAGAGCAGGGCCTTGTGGCAGGGAGACAAGTTTGGGTATTGCAAGGGGAGAAGGCGCAGTGTCAGAGAGGGGCGAGAGAACAAAAAGAGCCATTAATAATGGCTACCAATGTCCAGGGAAGACGGGGACTCCAAAGAACACGGCTTCATGGCATCCGGGCAGGAGGGGTCCAGAGGCAACGGTGACAGTGGCACATGCTGGCAGAGTGTTGGTATTGGCTGCCACATTGGCAGTTGTAAGTGTGGGCTACCTTGTGTCGTTTGAGAAGAAGCAAGACGGGCCCTTGGGTTTGGAAAGAGGAATGCTTGTAGGCTGAAGAGAAGGAGCGAGGGACAAGGCAAGAATGAGGCTGCAAGCTAGAGGGTGTGGTTGCAGGAACAAGTCTGCAAAAGGAGTTGCAAGGTGGGAGGGAGGTGAGGGGGTGGGCTTGGAAGGAAGGAGGTGTATGCATTTCAAGATGAAAGGCTAAGTATGGACACAGAGGCATGTTGATGAGTAGAGGCAGGGAGCTGAAGGCGTTTTTGGCAAGCAGCTCTTCTCAAGAGAATAGGAAGCGAGGTCACTAGATGCTTGCAAGGTGTCTGGCGCGTAACAAATCTTCCCAGGCAGACGAATCAATTAATTCACAGGCTTTTATTGGGGTTCCGCTCCCGGGTGAGGTTCCCCGGTCCCAACAGAGCAACAGAGCGGGGGCCGGGGAAGTCGCGCATCAGAGATTGGGAGAGCTCCTTTTATAGATTCAGGGCATGGGGGTTAAAGGTTGAGGTGGGTCTGATCCTCATTGGTTGACCTTTAGGCACCCGCAGAGACCTTGACAAGGACTTTTCTTCCCCACACGTACAGGTAGGGACGTCTCCATTCCCGGAAGTATAGGCCTTCCTTCCATGCGGATCCCAAAGCTACCAATGCTGAGAGTGGAGAAGAAGGGAAAGGATTGCAACAGCTGCTAGGAATCACATAGGGAGTGCACGAGACATAGGTAAAGAGATTCTGGAAACCTCTGGGAGCCCAGCTGAGTCTAAATCCAAGAACGATCAATAAAACCAGTTGGCACTGGACATGGTCTTGATGAATGTAGCTCAGGATGCTTCCCCTTCCTGTAGTCAAAGATTAGGCAAGGGGCGGTCATTTGGCCAAGCAGGTAAGGAGCCAGTTAAGGGGCAGCTGCTTGGCAGGTGAAGTTGCCACCTGGGACATCTGCTCCAATGAGAGCACCTGGTTCAAGTACTGGCTTTTTTTTTTTTTTTAAGGTTTATTTATTTATTTGAAAGTCAGAGTTACACAGAGAGAGGAGATGCAGAGAGAGAGAGACAGATAGACAGACGGACAGAGAGAGGTCTTCTATCCAATTGGTCGCAACAGCCGGCACTGTGCCGATCCAAAGCCAGGAGCCACTTCTGGGTCTCCCACGTGGGTGTAGGGGCCCAAGGACTTGGGCCATCATCCACTGCTTTCCCAGGCCACAGCAGAGAGCTGGATTGGAAGAGGAGCAGCCAGGACCAGAACCAGTGCACATATGGGATGCCAGTGCTCCAGGCCAGGGCGTTAACCCGGTGCACCACAGCGCTGGCCCCCCAAGTACTGGCTTTCACATTTCCAATCCCACTTGCTGCTGGTATACATCCTGGGAGGCAGCTTGAGTATTTGGGTTTTCACCATATAGGAGATCCAGATGGAGTTGCAGGCTCTTGGTTTCGGCTTGGCCTAGCTCTGGCTATTGCAGGTAGGCATTTGGAGAGTGAACCAATGGATGGAAGATCTCTCTCTCTCTCTTTGCCTTTAAGTTAAATGAAAATAAATTTTTAAAAACTTTTTATAAAGATGCCAGTCAAGATGCTTTTATCCCATATTGGAATCCCTGGGCTAGATACCTGGCTCTGGCTCCCAGTTCTTCCTGCTAATGTGGACCCTGGGAGACAGTGGTGATGGCTCAAGTAATGGGGTCCTTGCCACCCATATGCGAGACCAGGATTGAGTTCCAGGCTCTTGGCCTTGGCCTGCGCTCTTCCTCTCCATTGCAGGCATTTGGAGAATGCACAAGCAGGTGGAAGTGCTTTCCATCTGTCAAATAAACCTGAGTTGGAGCAGCACAAAACTGGGAATGGCTGGAGAAAGCTTTTGGGGGTCCAGGGCCCTGAGGGGTTGCTCCCTTGTATCCCACACAGACTTCTAGTTGTCCTGGCTCCTGTTCCTCAGAAGCCAGGAACTTCAGCTTTCTTTCCAATCTGCAGCCGTGCTTTGCTTCTGTGGGATGCACTGCATCCCGTCCTTCAACAGAATCCCTCTGAGAGAGCAGCAGAAAGGGACACCCAGGAGACACTGACTTTATCCGCCTTGCAAGGCAGCACACCCCTTTTTTTTTTTTTTGACAGGCAGAGTGGACAGTGAGAGAGAGAGAGACAGAGAGAAAGGTTTTCCTTTTGCCGTTGTTTCACCCTCCAATGGCCGCCGCAGCCAGAGCACTGCGGCCTGCACACCGCGCTGATCTGAAGCCAGGAGCCAGGTGCTTCCTCCTGGTCTCCCATGGGGTGCAGGGACCAAGCACTTGGGCCATCCTCCACTGCCTTCCCGGGCCACAGCAGAGAGCTGGCCTGGAAGAGGGGCAACCGGGACAGAATCCGGCGCCCCAACCGGGGCTAGAACCCGGTGTGCCGGTGCCGCAGGCGGAAGATTAGCCTAGTGAGCCGCGGCGCTGGCCAGCACACCCTTTTTTTAAAAGCTCCATCACTTTGGGTGTCTCAGCTGGACATCACCATCATGGTGGTTGTCCTCACCATCATCATCATCATCGCCATTGTCAACATCATTTCAGCATCCTCCTCCTCCTCCTCCTGAGTGGCTAAGCCTGCCTGGGGTTACATAATTAGGGAATGACAGTGTTGGCTTGATGGCATAATCTGTCTGATTTACTTATGTTGTGCTGGGGTCTCCCTGCAAGGGCCACCTGGTCTCGGGTTAGGATTTGAGTCTCACCACTTGTTTTTTTTTTTTTTTTTTTTGACAGGCAGAGTTAGACAGTGAGAGAGAGGGAGAGAGAGAGAGAGACAGAGAGAAAGGTCTTCCTTTCCGTTGTTCACCCCCCAAATGGCCACTACAGCCGGTGCACTGCGGCTGTGCCCATCCAGCGCCAGGAGCCAGTAAACCTCCTCCTGGTCTCCCATGCAGGTGCAGGGCCCACGCACTTGGGCCATCCTCCACTGCACACCCAGGCCACAGCAGAGAGCTGGACTGGAAGAGAAGCAACCAGGACAGAATCCGGCGCCCCAACCGGGACTAGAACCCGGGGTGCCGGCGCTGAAGGCGGAGGATTAGCCTAGTGAGCTGTGGCGCCGGCCGAGTCTCACCACTTGTAACTGAGACACCCCGGTGTGGGGACTCCTCTGGGCTCCATTCCCATGTCCATAGCATGAAGATGCTGGATTGTCGTCCTAATAGATGCTCCTTCCTCCTTCAAGTTTGCTCTTTCTGTGAGAAATCATGGGTAAAAAGACAATGGCAGAGTAACTGACATTTCCTCTGTGCCTAAGATGTGCCAGGCCCTACTGTAAACACTTTATATTATGAATTCAACCAACCTGATGAAATAGGCACTATACTGACCCATTTTACAGATGAGGAAACTGAAGCCCAGAGAGCTCTGAGTGGTTTGATCAGGATCACATGGCCAGTAGGTGGTGGATCTGTCAAACACCACACATTCTGCTCCTACCACAGAGGCCCCATGGGGATGGGGGTTTTGTTTTGTTCCCTAGTGTACCTACCTAGTACAAAATAGAAGCCCAGTGAATAATTGTAATGAACAAATTAAACATGAGGAAAAAAAAAAAAACAAGAAGAAATGAAAGAATGAATAGGGAGGGAAAAGAGTCCAATTTTCTCCAAATCTAATTCTATAGTATTTGATTTGCTTGATGCACATGTGTTTCTCATTATTTTTCAAGCGGGATCTAGGCATTCTAAGAAAATTTGGGAATTAGTCCCTTTTTTCCCCTCCAGATGATGTGGAGATAGGATTTCAGAATCTGTTTCATCTCTGTGTTTTCAAATGAAATTAGTAACTATATAAGAGCCCAATTGTGCAAGTGCTTGGATGAGAACTCAGTATCATTTCGTTCGCTGGGGTTTGGTAAAGGCAGAGTCTTCGGGTTGTGAGATGGTTTGTTACCACCCACATAACCTGGTTCCAGTGGGGAGCTCTCTATGACCAGTCCACTGAGGAAAAACCCAGGTGAACTTGGACTTGGATTATGATGAACGGGCTGGGAGAGCACAGCTGCAGAGCATGCCCGAAAGTTAGCAAGAGGGGGAAGGGAAGGGAATCCCAAACCCTCCTGCCAGCCAAGTTTCTGTTAGCTTCTGCCAGTAGGAGGCACTGGTGAGAGAGCCAGTGGTAGGAAAAAGGGACAAACTGTACTTCTTGAGGTAAAATCCCGTAAGTATTCATACTAGAGTAACTTATTTAATCACTTCCTTACAGATTTTAAAAAAATATTTATTTATTTGAAAGGAAGAAATTAAGGGAGGAGAAAGAGAGAGAGAGAGAGAGACAATCTCCTATCCACTGGTTAACTCCCCAAATGGTCACAACAGCCGGAGTTAGGCCAGGCCAAAGCCAGGAGCTAGGAACTTCTTCCGGGTCTCCCACAAGGGTGCAAGCGCCCAAGCACTTGGGCCATCTCCCACTGCTTTCCCAGATGCATTCGCAGGGACCTGGATCAGAAGTGGAGCAGCTGGGACTCAAACCTGCACCCATATAGGATATGGGCACTGCAGGCAGAGGCTTAACTTTCTATGCCACAGCACCAGCCCCTTTTCCTTATATTTGAAGTTGCTAATTGAATGATGAACCACAGTAACAAGTTGCTTGTAGCCAATACATGCATCAGCATGTAATCCTTACTGCTAACCTCACTACATAGTATCTATCAAGTTTATCCTGGCAGTACTGACTGTTCTGTCTTGAAACGCCTGTGGCAGGGCTGGTTCTGTGGTGCGATGGGTTAAAGCCCTGGCCTGCAGCACCAGCATCCCATATGGGTGCCGGTTCGGGTCCTGAAGAAGCTTCTGGCTCCAGCCCTGGCTGTTGGGGCCATTTGGAGATTGAACCAGTGGATGGGAGATCTCACTGTCTGTTGTTGCTTCTATTTCTTTCACTCTGCCTTTCAAATCAAATATATAAGTAATATGAATAGATAAAGAATGTATATTTATTATACAGAATATATTTATTATATGAATAAGAATAAAGAAATAGATTAGTAAATAAATAAATCATAACCAGACATTCCCCACCCCTGGGTCACTGAGCATCCCTGATTGGATAAAATGTGTAGACTATGCACTTTTCCGGGAAGTAACATTAAGAGTCTCTTTGATCTCTGTTGACTTTCTCAGAAAGGATTTGGACATCTTTGTTGGCATCAGAAGAGAAAAAGAGCCGTCACGGAAAGCTATCTGAGGTTTGTCCTCTTTTAGCTGAACCAGCTGAAGTCTTAACAGATTTGTGTATGACTAATACTTGGTGAATAGCTGTGTGCTTAAAGACCCGTGAAAATAAAAATTAGAAGAGCATCTTGGCCGCACAATATGGTGAACGTGCTCAGTGACTTTTTGTATTTAAAATGGTTGGTCCCCTGTTCAGTGAATTTTACTTCCATCAGACAATTGGTAAGTATGTTTTGCGCATTGGGAAAACGGATTGAATTGTAATTGTACCTAGCTTCAAGGATGTTTCGCAGATTTCTCACTGCCCTGCTTCGGCTTATCCCTGTGCTAAGAACCGGCTCTTAGATCACAGGCAGCGTTTATGCTCGGTGAAGTTTCTGATTTTTAATCACATTACAGATGAAAGAAGATGTGAAGCACTCGCTTGCCCCAACTACTTAACTACTTCAAAAGGATGAAAACAATCAACTGTGGGGAAATACACAGAAGCCTTCTCACGAGCACTCAGAGAGATGACCAATTTTAAATTCGTCTGAGATCCTCAGAAATTAATTTTGAAAATAAACCTTGCACAGATTTGCTCAGATAATTATAACAAAATGTGACATGAGTACAAATGGTTCTGAAGCTTGCTAGTATTAACTGTTTTTCACATTTTCTGCCTCTATGTGAGGGGACTTCAAAAAGCTCATGGAGGGGCTGGTGCTGTGGTGTAGTAGGTTAAGCCACTGCCTGCAGTGCCGGCATCCCATATGGGCGCTGGTTCGATTCTCAGCTGCTCCACTTCCTATCCGGCTCTCTGCTATGGCCTGGGAAAGCAGTAGAAGATGGCCCAAGTCCTGGGGTCCCTGCACCCACATGGGAGACTGGATGAAGATCCTGGCTTTGGCCTGGCCCAGCTCTGACCATTGAGGCCATTTAGGGAGTGAACCAGCAGGAGGAAAATCTCTCTCTCACTCCTTCTTGCTGTCTCTGTGCCTGTTTCTCTGTAAGTCCAATTTTCAAATAAATAATTTTTTTAAAAAAGAGTTTTAAAATAGCTCATGGAGGGGCCCGCACTGTGTCATGGTGGGTTAAGCTGCTACCTGCAGTGCTGGGATCCCATATGGGTGCTGGTTCTGGTCTTGGATGCTCCACTTCAGATTCAACTCCCTGCTAATGTGCCTAGGTAAACAGCAGAAGATGGCCCAAGTGCTTGAGGCCCTGCATCCATGTGGAGAAGCTCCTGGCTCCTGACTTCAGCCTGGTCTAGCCCCAGCTGGGCTTTCTTTAAGGAAAGAACCAGTGAATGGAAGATTCTCTCTCTCAAAAAAAAAAAAAAAAAAAAAAAAAAAAAAAACTCATGGAAAACGTATATTATGGCAGGTGTTATGCTACTGCTTGGAATGCCAGTCTCCCGTATTGGAGTCCCTGAATTCAAGTACTGCCTTTGCTTCCGTACAGCTTCCTATAACGTGCACTCTGGAAGACAGCAGGTGATGGCTCAAGTGCTTAGGCACTTTGGGGAGTGAACCAGCAGATGGAAGACCTCTCTCTCTCTGCCTCTCTCTGCCTCTGTGACTCTGCCTTTCAAATAAATAAATAAATACCTTTTTTTTTTTTAAAAAAAAGATGCACTTATTTGCCTGTCTGTGAATTTAAGTGAAACACCTTCCAATTCATTCCACTTTTCTTCTTTCTTTCTTTCTTTCTTTTTTTTTTTTTTTTTTTTTTTTTTTTTTTTCTGACAGGCAGAGTGGACAGTGAGAGAGAGACAGAGAGAAAGGTCTTCCTTTGCCGCTGGTTCACCCTCCAATGGCCACCGCGGCTGGCGCGCTGCGGCCGGTGCACCGCGCTGATCCGATGGCAGGAGCCAGGTACTTATCCTGGTCTCTCATGGGGTGCAGGGCCCAAGGACTTGGGCCATCCTCCACTGCCTTCCTGGGTCACAGCAGAGAGCTGGCCTGGAAGAGGGGCAACTGGGAGAGAATCCGGCGCCCCGACCGGGACTAGAACCCGGTGTGCTGGCGCCACAAGGCGGAAGATTAGCCTAGTGAGCCGCGGCGCCGGCCCATTCCACTTTTCTTCATTTTTTAAAAAAATATTTACTTTGGAGGCAGAGAAACAGAAAGGAAGAGGGACAGATAGACAGGCAGAAACAGAGATTTCTGATCCAGTTAGTGTCCTGCAACAGCTGAGGCTGGGGTGGGGGCACAGAGCCAGGAGCAGGAACAGGAGCCAGGAACACAATCCAGGTCTCTCACGTGGGTGGCAGGGACCCAGTTACTTGAGCCAGCACCGCTGCTTTCCAGCATGAGCAGTAAGAGAAAGTTGGAGTCAGGAGCAGGAGCTGGGAATTGAACTCAGGGACTCTGATGGGGAACACAGGCGTCCTAACCACTAGTCTGACCACCTGCTCCCCATTCCAACTTTTTGATCTGTCTGTATGCTCATCAAACAACTGCATAATCTCTCAGCCTCACTGGTGACCAGAAAGGAGGGTGGGGGCCCCTGATTATGAAGTGGGAGCTTTTAGGTATTGGGTCCAGTCTGAGTCTAATCAGCCCAAGGCCACCAGGCCAAACCCGAAGCCCAAGAAAGTCAGGTTCATTGGCTCTGGGAAATGAGAGACTACCTATCAGTGGAACTCCTGGACATTTCACCAAATAGAGAAAGAGATAAGGTAATCAGGTGATTTGGGGGGAAGGGAGGTATTTAAGTACTGAGGAGTGAAGCAATGTTTTGGTGGCTTCCAGGCAAACAGGCTGCAGGTAAAGGGTCCACTTTGGGTCCAAACTGCAAGGTGGACTCAGGGACCTGTGTCATGCAACTGTGTGTGTGAGAAGTTGAAGCTCTTCTTGATGTTGAAAGATTTCCATCCTCTGGACAAAAGTGGAATATTTCATTGTTACTGATTTGATTTCACTTGGCAAAGTTTCTGACAGCCGAGGTTGCAGATAAAGTCTCTCATTGACTCAAAAGGCAGAAATCACTCAAAAGAGGGTTTGTTAGGCATTTGACAGCTGGAGAGGGCCCCCAGAGAGAATATTGCTTCCCTGGGTGCATTACACTAGCCAATTTTTTCTTTCTCTGTCTGACTCCATTTTTGCTTTCTCCATAAAGCATCTGGAGAGAGAATTGTTGGGTCTTTATATAAAAAAAATGACCAGCCAATTTGCAGGATATAGTACACTCTAGATGAGCACAATAAAAAAATAACTGCTATGCTGAAAACCAAAGAAGATTGGATTAAGATGGCAGAGTAGGGAGGGTGCTTACTGCTCTAGTCTAGGAGAAAATAGTTTATAAAAAAAAAAAAATGGAGAGAATGTAGTTTCAGGGAAGAGTTAGGGAGAAAACAGCAGAGGAAACTCCATGTAAATCAGAGGGACACTGTGGACCTACATGGAGGATGTCGACGTGCACGACTCAGGACCCCAGCACCTGAGTCTCCGGACTAGCTTTGGAGAGTGAGGTGAGAACAGACTGCAGCATCCCAAGCCACTGGAGATAAAGCTGCAGGAAGAGCCTGGAGGGAATCTAGCTTGGAGGCCTGTGGGGGATAGTGTACCTGCCAAACTAGAGGAAAAAGCAGAGGGGGCACATTCCTCTCTGATCACCCTGCAGTTGTGTCCTGTAACAAGCTAATAGAGAGCGGTCACCATTTTGGACATACATAACAGCTGTGCTGGCCTCAGGCCCAGCAACCAGCTGAGCAAAGACTCCTGAGTCTGGTGGGGAAAACAGACAGGGGGCTGGGTGCTTGTGACTGTGGGAGGCTTGTGTGCCGGGACTGTGAAAACACTGAGGCTGTGTGGGAGGACTCAGGGTGTGAATGGGACTTTGGGCAGTCACTGTGGGAGGTCTCACACCATTAGGGCTCCCTGGTTCCCTGGTGAGGGACATTGCTGTGGAATCTGTGCTTTCTCTGAGGACTGCACAGATCCTTTGTGTGGTTCTTTATTATTATTATTATTATTAAAGATTTATTTATTTATTTAAGAGGCAGAGTTACACAGAGAGAGAAGAAGCAGAGAGAGAGAGAGAGAGGTCTTCCACCCACTGGTTCACTCCCCAGTTGGCCACAATAGCTGGAGCCATGCCAATCTGAAGCCAGGAGCAAGAAGCTTCTTCCAGGTCTCCCACGTGGGTGCAGGGGCCCAAGGACTTGGGCCATCTTCTACTGCTTTCCCAGACCATGGCAGAGAGCTGGATCAGAAGTGGAGCCACGGCCGGCGCTGCGGCTCAATAGGCTAATCCTCCACCTAGCGGCGCCGGCACACCGGGTTCTAGTCCCGGTCGGGGCACCAGATTCTGTCCCGGTTGCTCCTCTTCCAGGCCAGCTCTCTGCTGTGGCCCGGGAAGGCAGTGGAGGATGGCCCAAGTGCTTGGGCCCTGCACCCGCATGGGAGACCAGGAGAAGCACCTGGCTCCTGGGTTCAGATCAGCGCAGCGCGCGAGCCGTGGCGGCCATTGGAGGGTGAAAAGGCCATTGGAGGGCAAAAAAGGAAGACCTTTCTCTCTGTCTCTTTCTCTCACTATCCACTCCGTCTGTCAAAAAAAAAAAAAAAAAAGTGGAGCCACCAGGACTTGAACTGTCACCCGTATAGGATGCCGGCACTGCAGGCAGCGGCCTCTGTGTGGTTCTTGTGGTAGCGTGAACAAATGCTATACTCTCTGGGGCTAGCACCCAGGCACTCCTTTGAGGAAAGGAGGTAAACTGAGTCTACACCAATAAAGCAGAACAAACATGCCCTCTGATAAAAAAAAATTAAAAAAAGATTTACCATGCCCAATCTGGGAGTCACCTTGGACATTCCCTTCACCTTGGAGCACTGAACAGAGCTCCATCACATGCTTGGAGGTATTCCCTGAAAGCAGACACTCTGCTAATCCACACTTAGTCCAAAGATAAAAACCACCACAGTGAAAAAACAAAGAAACTAATGACTATCTCCACAAATACCAAATAACAAATGTACCAATTCAAGAAACAAGAATAGGGAAGACAACATGATGCCTCCAAAAGAATATAACACTTCAATACTACATTGTGAAGATGATGAGATTGAAGAAATGCAAGAAATGGAGTCCAGGAAATTGATCATAAGATTACATAGAAGTAATCAGAAGCAAATGCACAAACTACTGAAATCCATACAGGACTTGAAAAAAATTTCTCCCACAAAATTGAGATCTTGGCCGGCACTGTGGCTCACTAGGCTAATCCTCTTCCTGCGGCACCAGCACACCAGGTTCTAGTCCCGGTTGGGGCACCGGATTCTGTCCCGGTTGCTCCTCTTCCAGTCCAGCTCTCTGCTGTGGCCCAGGAGTGCAGTGCAGGATGGCCCAAGTGCTTGGGCCCTGCACCCGCATGGGAGACCAGGAGGAAGCACCTGGATCCTGGCTTCAGATTGGCACAGCGCGCCGGCCACAATGTGCTGGCCATAGCGGCCATTTTGGGGGTGAACGAATGAAAGGAAGACCTTTCTCTTTGTCTCTCTCTCTCACTGTCTAACTCTGCCTGTCAAAAAAAAAAAAAATGAGATCTTAAAGAGAAATCAAAATGAAATCTTGGAAATGAAGAATTCAATAGAACAATTATAGTCACAGCGGACTTATCAGAAACCCTACAGGCTAGGAGAGAATGGCAAGATATATTCAAGTCTTAGGAGAAAAAACTTTCAACCTAGAATACTGTACCCTGTAAAGCTTTAATTTATGAATGAAGGTGAAATAAAGACCTTCCATGACAAACAGAAATTGAAAGAATTTGTCACCACCTGTCCAGCCTTGCAAAAGATGCTTAAGGATATGCTGCACACAGAAACACAGAAACATGGTCATCACTACGAAAGAAGGTGAAGTTAGAAAATCTCCTAGTAAAAGTACAAAGGAAACCCAAAGTAAAAAAAAGAATATTTATGGAAAAATGGCAGGGCAAAGTCGTTACTTATCAACAGTTACCTTGAATATAAATGGTCTCAACTCCCCAGTTAAAGGACAGACTGGCTGAATGGATTAAAAAACAAAATCCATTTATTTGCTGCCTATAAGAAACACATCTCACCAATAAAGACACACACAGACTGAAAGTTAAAGGATGGAAAAAATATATTCCATGCTTACAGAAACCAAAAAAGAGCTGGTGTAGCCATCCTAATATCAGACAAAATAAACTATTTCACAGAAACTATTTAAAAAGACAAATAATGGCACTGTATAATGATTAAGGGAGCAATTCAACAGGAAGATGTAACTATTATATACATATACACACCTAATTACAGGGCACCTGGCTATTTAAAAGAAATGTTAAGGGATTTAAAGGGAGACATAGACCCCCATACAATTGTAATGGGAGACTTCAATACCCCACTTTCAGCAATAGACAGGTCAATTAGAAAAAAAAAAATCAGCAAGGAAATAACAGAGTAAATTGACGTTATAGACAAAATGGACCTAACAGATATCTACAGAACTTTCCATCTTTAGCCACAGAATACACATTCTTCTCAGCAATGCACAGAATTTTCTCTAGGATTGACCACATACTAGGCCATAAAGCAAGTCTCAGCAAATTTTAAAAAACTTGAAATCATATCATGCATCTTCTCAGATGGAGTGAAGCTGGAAATCAGCAACTGTGGAATCTCTAGAACATATACAAACATATGGAGACTGAACAACATGTTCCTGAATGAACAGTGGGTCATAGAAGAAATCAGAATAGAAATCAAAAAATTTCTGGAAACAATGAAGATGACAATACAACATATCAAAACTTATGGGATACAGCAAAAGTAGTGTTAAGAGGAAAGTTTATAGCAATAGGTGCCTACATCAAGAAACTGGAGAAGCACCAAATAAATGAGCTATTAATGCATCTCAAAGATCTAGAAAAACAATAGCAAACCAAACCCAAAACTAGTAGTAGAAAAGAAATAATTTGAGAACAAATAAACAAAACTGAAACAACAAAAAAATAAAAAGATCAGAAAAATGAAGAGCTAGTTTAAAAAAAAAATGATACACCATTGGCCCAGCTAACCAAATAAAGGAGAGAGAAGACCCAAATTAATAAAATTAGAGATGAAAAAGGAAATGTAACAAGACCCCACAGAAATAAAAATAATCAACAGAAATTACTACAAACAGCTGTATGCTAACAAACTGGGAGACCCAGAAGAAATGGATAGATTCTTGAACCATACAAACTACCTAAATTGAGCCATGAAGACATAAAAAACCTAAACAGATTCATAACCAAGATGGAAATTAACTCAGTAATAAAGACCCTCCCAAAAAAGAAAAACCCAGGACTGGATGGTTTCACTGCTGAATTCTACCAGGCATTTAAAGAAGAACTAAGTCCAAGTCTTCTCAAGCTATTCAAAACAATTGAGAGGGAGGAAATCCTCTCAAATTCCTTCTAGATAACCAGCATCACCTTAATTCCTAAACCTGAAAAATAAGCAACAGAGAAAGGGAACTACAGACCAATTTCCCTGCTGAACACAGATGCAAAAATGCTCAACAAAATCCTAGCCAATTGAATCCAACAACACACCAGAGGGATCATTCACCCAGACCCAGTGGGATTTATCTTTGGTATGCAGGGACAGTTCAACATTCACAAGTCAATCAATGTGATACATTACATTAACAAACAAAAGAACAAAAATCATATGATTATCTCAATAGATGCAGAAAAAGCATTTGATAAAATACAATATCTTTTTATGATGAAAACTCTAAGCAAATTGGGTGTAGAAGGAACATTCCTCAACACAATAAAGGCAATTTATGACAAACCCACAGACAGCATCCTGTTGAATGGGGAAAGTTGGAAGCATTACCACTGAGATCCATAACCAGACAAGGATATCCATTCTCACCATTGCTATTCAATAAAGTCCTGGACATTTTAGCCAGAGCCATTAGACAAGAAAAAGAAATCAAAGGGATACAAATTGAGAAGGAGGAAGTCAAACTAGCCGTTATTGCAGAGGACATGAGTCTATATTAAAGGGGATACAAAAGACTCCACTAAAAGACTATCAGAACTCATAGAAGAAGTAAAGTAGCAGGATATAAATTCAATACAAAAAAAGCAACAGTCTTTGTATACACAGACAATGCCATGGCTGAGAAAGAACTAAGATAAATCCTATTCACAATAGCTACAAAAAAAATCAAATACCTTGAAATAAACTTAACCAAGGATGGTAAAGATCTCTATGATGATAATTACAAAACATTAAAGGAAGAAATAGAAGAAGATATAAAAAATGGAAAAATCTTCAATGTTCATGGATTGGAAGAATCAGTATCATCAAAATGTCCATTCTTCTGAAACTAATTTACAGATTCAATGCAATAGTAATAGAAATACCAAGAACATTCTTCTCAGATGTAGAAAAAATGATGTTGAAATTCATATGGAAACCAGGTTACCCCAAATAGCTAAAGCAAACTTATACAACAAAAGCAAAGTTGGAGACATCATAATACCAGATTTCAAGACATACTACAGGGCAGTTATAATCAAAACAGCCTGGTAAATGCTACAAAAATAGATGGATAGACCAATAGAACAGAATGGAAATGCCGGAAATCAATCCAAGCATCTACAACAACCTATCTTTGACAAAGGAGCTAAAACCAGTCCCTGGTGCAAGGACAGTTACTTCAACAAATGATGCTGGATTTTCACATGCAGAAGTGTGAAGCAGGACCCCTACTTTACACCTTACACAAAAATTCACGCAAAATGGATTAAAGACCTAAATCCATGACCCAATACCATCAAATTATTAGAGAACATTGGGGAAACCCTGCAAGTCACTGGCACAGGCAAAGAGTTCTTGGAAAAGTCCTCAGGGGCACAGGTAATCAAAACCAAAATTAATAAATAGGATTACATAAAATTGAGATGCTTCTGTACTGCAAAAGAAACAATCAAGAAAGTGAAGAGGCAACTGACAGAATGGGAGAAATTATTTGTGAACTACACCACTGATGAAGGGTTAATAAAAGAACATGTAAAGAGATCAAGAAACTCCACAACAACAAAACAATCAACCCAGTGAAGAAATGGGCAAAGGACTTAAACAGACCATTTTTCAAAAGAGCAAATCCAAATGGCCAACAGACACATGAAAAAATGCGTGGGATCACTAGCTATCCAGGAAATGCAATTCAAAACCACAGTGAGGTTTCACCTCACCCCAGTTAAAATGGCTTTCTTACAGAAAGCAACAAACAATAAATGCTGGTGAGGATGTGGGGAAAAGGGCACCCTAATCCACTATTGGTAGGAATGTAAACTGATAAAGCCACTATGGAAAACAGTATGGAGATACCTCAGAAACCTGAATATAGACCTACCATATCACCCAGCCATCCCACTCCTGGGAATTTACCCAAAGGAAATGAAACCAGTATATAGAAGAGTTATCTGCACCCCCATGTTTAATGCAGCAGAACTTACAATAACTAAGATATGGAATCAACCCAAATACCCATTAACTAAAGACTGGATAAAGAAACAGTGGGATATATACACCATGGAATACTACACAATGGAAAAAAAAAAAGAAATCTGGTCATTTGCAACAAAATGGATGAATCTGGAAAACATCATACTTAGTGAAATAAACAAGTCCTAAAGGGACAAATACCATATATTCTCCTTGACCTGTGATAACTAATAGAGCACCTAAAAGACAATCTGTAGAAGTGAAATTGACATTTTGAGAAGCAATGAGTTTAAAGAACCCTGTCGTTACTGTTGAGGAACAGTTTTTGTTTTTATTTTCATACTATTTGTTGAACTTTTTACTTAACATAGTTTATCATATATGTATAATGCCAACTGAAAATAGATCTTAGTAAAAAAAAATGAGAGTGGGAATACGAGAGGAGAAAGAGGGGTGGGTGTATGGTTGGGATGGTGGGCCAAATTGGAAGAATTACCATGTTCCTCAAAATTATGAAGTTTGTAACTGTAAACATGTATAGTTCTGCATACATTCCTATGGACTTTCTTCTAAGGATACAGTTTAAAAACTTGCCATGAGATCTCAAATCCCCTTAAGCTGGTTGGTAATAATACCATCTTAAGTGTTAAAGTGATCATATGAATAGGAGTAAGTGTCTAGTAATAATAATAGATAGAATTATAAAGGAGTGAATGCATAGAAAGTAGTCCACACAGCATACTCAAAGAATGACAATCACTTTAAGTAGCACTGTGACTTCAGAATCAGCCCTTAAGGCAGTCTGGTCTGACTGAAAAGCTCAAGAGAGCAGTTCAGGCATAGAAAGCCAAGACACTGTGGCAAAAAATGTCCTACATGAGGGACCTTGGTGAGCGAGACCCCAGTGGAAAAAAGTGGTCATCAAAGAAGGAGGTACTTTTCTCTGAAGGGAGGAGAGAACTCCCACTTTGCTTATGGCCTTGTCAATACTGACAGAGTCTATGGATTCAAAAGTCTTCCACAGCCTAGGCAGCTCATGTCAAGAGCCTTGGATGATCACTAACGTTATGCATAAGAGTGTTAATCGTTAAATTAACAGCAAGGGTCACTGTGCACTAAATTCCCATGCAGGACCTCTGTCCTCAAAGAGTTGGATTATGAGAGTTAACTGTAAAACTTGTTCTCAAAGATTTATTTCGTTTTGGTGCATTAAGTGGAGGATATTCCTAGGTCTCATAAGTTTTAGTTATGTCTAAGTGTCCAACTCCATTGCTGTTTTCTTAGGTGCTTCCTTAATTTATGATTAAGATAATTTTCAAGGACTTACTTTCTTTTAATGTATTAAGTGGAGTATACTCTCATGTCTCATAAGTTATAGTCATGTCTAAATTCTCACAAAAGATGTATGATTTTGGGGTGATTCTTTAAAGTTAATTAAGCTAAAAAAAAGTGAAATTAACTTTGAGATGCAATATCTTTGAACAGCCTTTGTTTTGACTGTTGAGGAACAGGTTTTTTGTGTGTGTGTGCAAATTGTTGAACTCTTTACTTAGTATACAGTTGGTCTTCTGTGTATAAAGTTAATTGAAAATGGGTCTTTTGGAGAATGGGACTGGAAATGGGAGAGGGAGGAGGAGGAGGAGGTGGGATGAGAGTGTGGGTGGGAGGGCGGGTATGCTGGGAAGAATCACTATATTCCTAAAGTTGTACTTATGAAATGCATGAAGTTTGTATTCATTAAATATAAGGTTTTGTTGGAGAAAAAAATAACCAAAACCCAACAGTTGTTAAAGGAGAAATGAAAAGGCCGTTGGAGCATCGTACACATTTTAATGTCTAAAAAAATAAACATCCAATCCTATCACCAACTTAAGCCAAAAGCCCTTGAGCTCCTTGGTCTTAAGAAAACCCCCAAGGATCAGTTGCAGCTGTGATTGATCCCTGCTCTGCTCTGACTTCAGAAGGACCAAGTGTCATGAAATCCAAATTCATGCAAGTCCCTGCTAGGCTGCCTTTGGTCCATTTCTTGCTCTGACTTCTTAAGGAGCTCTAAGGTTACAGAATTCCACATGCCACTGGCTGCCCAGTCCAGGTTTTTGTCCACCTTACCAGGGAGCTGTTATGGTGACCTGGGTGACTGGGACCCATCTATCCTAGCATTTGTGCTTGTTGGTGTTGCTGCAGTTTTTTTTGTTTGTTTCTTGTTCTATTTTGTTTATTCTTCTCCCCATTTTGTTTTAGTTTGGTTTTTTTTTTTACCTTTTTTTGCCCATTTTTGTCTTTTTTTTTTTCATTTTTGGCTTCCCCCGCCTTTAATTAGGCAGCACTGCTAGATTTCACAGTGATACTGTAGTTATTTAGTGTTAGCTTTTTTGGAGTTTTTTCTGGTTTTTGTTTTCAGTTTTGTTGAGATAGTACTTAGTCTTGCCACTGTGTGTCATTAGTGTAGTTAGTATAGCTAGTGTGGTGGCATAGTGAGAGCAGCAGGTAGTCCCCTGGTTGTCCATTTATTTTCTTATGTATTATAGTGAAGGTAGCCCATCAGTTTGTGTTTGTGAACAAAAAGAGAGAGTAGATCAGAGAGAATAGTTAGACACTCCAGCATGGAAGGGCTTGAGGACTTCAGGGTCAAAGCCAGCCCTCAGCCTGAGCTCCAGCTGCTGACCCTACTGGGCTGGGGCAGCTTCAGCATTGTGTTTCTGGCCCACCAGGCGTCAGGCCGTGAAGCAGTTCCAGGAATACCTGAGTGACCTCTGATACCAGGCGGGCAAAGACAGAGCCAGCATCATGCAGCTCCTTAGGCACCAGAACATCCTGGAGCTGCTGGAGGTGTGATGTCGGCGGTCACCATTGCCTGGTGTAGGAGCTGGGGGGCGGGGGTGGGGGTGGGGCACTGCTATCAGCGCATGATGGGCCGGGGCGGCCTGCAGGAGCCCGAGACTATGGCCATGTTCTACCAGATCCTGGCGTCAGTGGGCCACTGCCATGTGCAGCGTGTGGCACACAGGGACCTCAAGCTGGGGAACCTGCTGCTGGACTCGGACCTGAATGCGAAGCTGATGAACTTTGGGCTCAGCTGCCAAGTGGCCAAGGGCGTGCTGGTGCCCGGCTTCTGCGGGTCCCAGAAGTATTCCAGCAGGAGGCCTGTTGCAGTTGATTTCTCAACAATGTTGCAATGGATTCCTTTCTGAGAGGAGTGTGGTGGCGGCAAGAGGTGCGGAGTCACCACACAGACCCCCCGGAGTCAGGTGAAAGCGGGCTTCAGGCAAGCAGCCCGCAGGCTCATTTATTTCAGTTGGTACAACAGCTTATATAGCCAAGACCAGCCAATCCGGTCAAGGGGTGGTCTATGCCCCAACCAATCACAGCCTGTTGCCAGGCAGTTTCCAAAGCCATCCAATCACAGCCTGTTTCCAGGCAGGCTCCTTTGCCAGGTGGGTTTCAAAGCCATTCCTGAGTAACTGACACTCTCTTGCCAACGGCCATCTTGGCATGGCCTTCTCATTCCACCACAGAGGCCCACAATGCCTTCGCGCGGACATCTGGAGTTTGGATGTGATCCTCTTCGTCCTGTGGGCGGGGTGCTGCAAGCTCCCCTGTGCGGCCAGCCCAGCTTTGGCGGCGCTCCTGAGCTTGCTGCTCAGCCTGGACCCGAGCGAGAGGCCTACGGCAGAACTGGTTCACCATCACTGGTGGTTCGATCCCTTACAGGAAGAAGGCGAGTGCGAGAAGGTGACTCTGGTGCATTCCCTGGGGGTTCCCGAGGACCCAGAGGC